AGATTAGATACTGCAACTAAATACTTCAGACCATTTATGCCACTGTAAGTGAAGCATGGGGGGTGAGGGATGCTTTCCAGCTGCAGAACAATACAGTACTCTCTTTTCCTTCTCCATGTGTTTTTTTTGCTCAAGACATAACTTAGTTGCTGTTTCCAATCAGATAGTCACTGAGATGTTGGAAGCAACATAGAGGTAAATGTCTGAAACACTGCAAGTAGTCACAGTCTAAAAGATTTTTCTTTTTCTCTCAATCTCTGGCACAGGGAATGCTGGGCGACTCCTCCTTCCCCTCCTGCTCATTGAATGTCATGCACCAGACCAGAGCCACAGGAATTGACCTTAGGCTCCATCTTGCATAATGAGACTCAAACTAGGCAACATGAATCATGCAACATGTCCACATAGACAAAGCTCAAGTGATCAAACCCTGCAGTGTTATCGTATTAAATTTGTTTGTTTTTCCCCCTTTTTCAAAATGCAATCTAGAATTCAGAACATCCTACTTTTAATATTCAGATTTTCCAACTGCTCCTGTTACAGGGAATCTATGCCTCTCACCCATCAATTCATTTTGTAGATGAACAGTATGTAAGAGAAGGCATATAACGTCACTACAGTAAGTCAGCTTCTTAAGGCTATTTTCTATCCTTATTAGGAAGTCTATTTTCATAATAGATCAGTACATTCATAGTGTAATCATTTCTCTAAAATGTAAATCCAATTGATTTCAGTGGGGCCAATGTCCATATAACTGGGTACAGGATTGCAGCTTTAAACATTGCTCTTTCCAAGTTGATTTTGCTTTGAAAACACACGATTGAAGTCTGCCCATTTTTGGCAAATAGATTTTGTGCATCTGTAACATATGAAATAGCAATGTTCAGGGTAGGGTAGGGTAGGACATATTTTGTATTAACTTTGTACTGGAGCATGTCTGAGTGTTTTAGATGTGTATATTTCGTTATGCCACTTACCTATTTTTGGAAATTTACAGGCAACAAAATGGATTCTCTGTGCCTGTATGGTGGCTAAACATTGCTTATCGCAACATTAGAAGGATCAATGCCCAAGCTCCATTAATCAATGGATTGAGGATGTTAACAACTGTTCCAGCATTAACGTATGCAGCATGTAGATAGCAACTACATACAGACACTTCCTGGACATTTAGCCATCTTTTCTTAAAGTTTATTTATATGAGAGTCTGGGGTTTATTGCTTCGGATGTTTTATTCTTTGACTTTTTTGTTTTCTTAGCTACAGGGTGGGTTTTATTCTCCTCTCCATGTGCATTTTTCTATGACTTAAGGACAATAAAAATAAAGAAAACAACGTACATGTAAAGAAACACTTAGAAAATGGATGCTGACAGATCAACCAGAAGGGAACGCAAGAGGAATGAGCTGCAGCACGGATCTCAGGAGCTTTTCAGAATACACAAGGGCTTAAACTGGCACTCAGTAGGTGGCTGTTTGCTGCTGGAGATCTACTGTTGTTTGCTTAGCCTTCTTCTAATCACTCGTGGTGCAATACTTTCAGCTGGAAATCTTCCTGATGTTTTCACATGACCAGTTTTATATCAGTGGTAGAAAACAAGCATGACATGGGATAGATGATACAGAGAAGATCCATGTAACACACCCCACCCTGCAGCATGTTTATGCAGCAGAATGCTAGTGCTCGCGGTTTCCCTGGAGTGTAGAACGTGCTGTAACTCAGAGAAAAAGTTTATGTTTTCCATGCAGAGACAGCCCCGGGTTCAATCCTTCCCATTTCCAACTATGTTTGAGACTTTTGACTGAAAATCTAAATGTGTAGCATCTGCCAGTCTGTGCACACAGTACTTAGTTACATGGATGACTAGTCTGACTCAAGTGTATAGTAACTTCCTATGTTCAACATTAGGAAGCAGACAGTGATGGCTAGCCTAGACCAATTCCAGCAGATTTCTGCTTTTGTAGGATACCTTTCTGAAGTCCAGGATACAGGGAGCAGGGAGAAATGAAACTACACACAATCTAATGCTGAATCTAATGCTACTTTGAAAACATGAATTAATTCAAAATTTAAACTATTGTTCATTACTAGCTTATTATTTACTGATTAACTTATTTACTAGAAATGTATAGGTATCTCAACTACCATGGAATCCTACCACTCCCTAATGACCAGTGGTGGATAGTACCTAGGTTGAGGAAGGCGGCAGCTACACATGTACAAAGAACACTAGCAATCCCACTGCAATGAATAGGACTCAACACAGTAACACATGTGCACGTATCATATTCTTTTCAATGGGAGTTTGTATAGGAGGAGTTTCCAGTGCACTGGAATCATAGCCAGTAACAGAGGTTAAGCAATTATGTAACTGCATTCATGACTATGCATTTTCTCATTCATAACAACAGAACAAAGTGTTTTTACACCAAGCACTTGGAGATCTTTTGGAAAGAGTTGCATCATGCAGGGAAAGGGAAGGACTGCTCTTCCTGCAAAGATTGGCTGGCCTTATTTTTAGTTTTCCAGTGTCAATATTTTCCCCCTTTTACAGAGGAAATGTAAGGAACTGTCAGTACTAGAAATTAAATGAGATGATGTATAGATCTAATATGGTGCACCCTGCAAACCATTGCACTTAGACTTCATAAGGTTGACACCAATCCAACAGTTTCCAGAGGCAAGTCAAAGGCAGGAACGAAACATGGATGCAGCCTTTTTTTCTTTTACCTTGAAAGCTCTATCCATTGTCTGCAGGTGGTCCAGAAACTGTACGTGGGCACAAAACATATAAACAGACTTATGCTCAGGACCTTATGGATCCTGAGGTAAACTGGTACCCCTTCAAGACTGCTGAAGGAAGTGAAGGCTAAATCTTCAGCTGCCCTCAATCTTGACTGGCATTTAGTACTGGTGGCCACATGCCAGGTGACTGCCTGCTTTAAAAGATGCCACAATCCTATACATACTTATTTGGGAGTACAATTTCATTAAGCCCAATGGAACTTACTTCTGAGTAAAGATACAAAAGACTGTTCTATTAATCTGCCAATCACAGTTTCATAAGTATAACCTTCCACTCAATTATACACAGGATAAAATGCATATAAGGCAGTTATTATTAAAAGATAAACTTCAAATTTTATTGGAAACTTAGAGAAAGGGATGGCTATTTTGGAGGGGGGGCTTTCTCTCTTTGAAAAAGAATAGATGAATGGAATAAAAAGAACTTATGCAGATTTACTTAGGAATAAGCTTCTGCAAACAGTGAAATACTACGCTATAGTTGTTATTAAAATATTTTTACACTCTCCCTTAGAATTAAAGGCATCTAACTGCTGAATATAACATATGTATGATATGCAGCTCTGAACAATTTCAAAGTTTGCTGCCTTAGTATAAATTCAGAAAAGCGCCATCTGCTGACAAAATTTTTAGATTTCTCAAACAAGTTGTGTCCAGCCATCTTTGCATTCAGATAATTTAAAGTATTAAATAGAAAAAAATTGTGAGAGGATGCAATAAATTTAGGCTGCAATCCTATACTCATTTACATGGGAGTAAACCCAAATGAACTTAACAGATGTCTGACCATGGACCTTGATATGGAGAATTTCACCAGCTCAGGCCTAACGTTACAGATTACAAAAAGTTATAAAGCCAAGGCAGAACAAAGACTGAGATCTCCTAGTAGATGTCAAGATTTGCAGTGGATGTTTGAGACTTTCCTGGTCCTTGTATTTTAAGATCTGCAAATATAGCTGCAAGTAAAGATAAACAAATCCCTGTCATGGCCGAACTTGTATTAACATAAACATTAGTTATTTGCTTTCTCTCATCCAGTTCTACAGTTAGAATCTTTCAACTTTAGGACTGCTAGTTTTGTGTACTTTTATATTCAGATGTGGGTTGGGAGGTTACATTAGTTAATTAGCTTTGCCTTTAAGTGAGCTCTATTGGATACGTTTTGTGCATCTTAGGGCTCCAATCAAAATCAAAATGTACTGTATTCCACAAGCCTGAATTTTTCTCAGTTGTGTTTTAAGTGACAATTTTACCTTTTCTTGGACAGAAAAAGACGTTTCTCTGATGAAAGAATACCATCCTGATATCAAACTATATTAATCCAATCACACTGTTCAACAAAACTAGGAGACACAGAATGTATCCCTTTAATGCATACTTGAATTAGAAACATGTGCACTAGGTCAGGATTCTCACCCTTCAGCTTAAAGACAAGTATCTTTCCTATCATTCAGCAGTTTTCTTTCTAATCATTTTCCCATTCAGCCTGATTAATTGCTCAAGTGGCATTACTAAGTGACCAAAATGTATTTGTGCTACATTAAGCCCTTACCTTGGTGAAAATCCACTGAGTTCAGCAGGACTGATATCTGAATAGAAATGCATGGTTGCATTTTTACACAGTTATGACAATTACCAAAATTCATCTCCTCAAGTTTAAAAGCTTAAAATAATTTTTATAAACCTTGCTTTGTAGGTCTTTTAGTGTACCAGATACTGTAGTTAAAGAGAAAACCTGAAGTTTATGATAATGTATTTGGATTTTTATGTCACTTGCAAAAGTTTAGGCCAAATTATGCTTTAAAATAATTAAATAAACAATCTATTTCGACATTTTAAATTCTGAAATAAAGGTTGACAAGAGACTGGCACTTTGGCTTTCAGGGGAAGCGCAAAGGAGGAAAACACTAGAGGCTTTAAGTATATAAAATCAAATCCCCCCCAATAAGCACTTTACTGTTACAGAAGGACCTGAAAAGTGTTTTGACTCATTCAGAATATGGGTTCCTAAAACAGAAAACAAAACTGGATGAATTTCATGCATACACCAACAAGCATCGGTAATTTCTATCTTAACTCGTAGCACAAATAATCTTTAAAAATAGTTTAATAGACTTCAAAGTGCTATTGCAAAAAATGAATTGTGCAAGGAAAGAAGCCACACGGGCAGAAGTAGTAATTAACATGGATGTTTACTTCTTTCAGTTCATGACTTCTTTGTTGGAGAATCAGTGAAAGACAGATCGTTTAGCTGCAGGCCTTTTCTTAGTATCAGTACTGGAAGAGAAGAAAATTACTTGTTAATAGTTCACATGAAGTGAATTGAAGAAAGTTTGCTGGACTAGAAAAACATCCGTCACCTTGATGTCAAAAAGTTAAAACCACCTCAACACCTTGCACTTCCTCACCACTGGAAAGGACAAGTCAATTTTCTTCATGCCTTTGAGACAATAACGGGTGCTTCTAGGTGAGTCTTTTAAGTATATAATCAACCTGCTTTAATCACTAAATGTTATGATGAGTCCAGGCAATGTTATCTTCTGTATGTAGCCTTCATGCATTTCTTCTTACTCACAAAAATTTTACTAAGGAGAGAAAGACAGGACATAATGTCTTTGACTGGAAAATACACAGGAGCCTGTTTGTGTCGAACAGGGGCAAGAAGCATCCAAGGGCAAGGGACCATTCTTTTTTTTTCCAATTTGGGGGTAGGGTCAAATGGGCTGGTGACGCTTGGCCTCACTGGGCCCCAAGGGACCACATGTGGCTCCTGGTGATGCTTTGTCCACACCTGCTTTAGAAACATCCACTGTAATTAGCTAATTGACTCTGGCAATGTTGATAAACCCTGCTATTTACACTTTTGAGACAAAGGTAAACAAATTTTAACACAGGACAATTTACAAGTGTGTGCTGCTTTCTCCATGGAGTTTTATTGTGTTACTTTCCGCATAGATTTTCATTTATAAAGGGAGAGGTGGGATGGAGGGAAGGAAGGAGAGAAGCAAGCAGCAGCTAGTCACATTTCTGTTTGAGGGTGGAATTTCTTATCAGAGCTAGTCCCTTCAAAGTTCTGACCCTACGGCAGTCTTAAGCACTCACTCGAGAACCGTGCTTGTTAGGACTGTCAGATTAGCTTAAATAGTCTAGCCACAAAGGCTGAAATCTCAGCATACACACTCTCTGTACTGGCACTAATTTAATGCCTGGTGGGGGGCTGCATGTAAAAATCAAAGGGTCCAAAAATCTGAATCATGCTCAAGATAACAGGAGACATGCCCATATCAGAACAGTAGAAGCACAGCTTCGAAAAGTACCTTCTCTAGACTACAAAACTCAAAATCCCCCAGCCAGTAGAGCTCTATATAGAACACATATTTTGTCTACTGATATTCACAACTTTGCTCCTCTGAATTACCAACTGCCAGGGAGCAGTAAATAAGAAACTACTCTGAGTTCCTAAAGACTTGCTGACAGTCAGAGAGAAACAAGACTATGAAGAAATAGTCTCACTTGCACCTTCCAATCAATGCCCCACCAATTTTACAGCCCTATGCAGGCAGCGTAACTGAAACCATGCATGGCTAAATAGGTGGTAAAAATGTGGTAATGCAGGTAATCCCCACCCCATGCTGAAATCAGCAAGTTAACACAAGGGGACACAAAGGAGCCTGTTAGTGTCTTCCACTGAACATGCTTGCAGTGCTCCCATGACTGAGAACCTTAACAGAACAGGACTCCTAATTACAGGAACATTTTAAAAATGTTTAGAGGCATGTCTGAAATCATGGAAGGATAAATGAGTGGGGAGGATGCAGGGATGCATATAAAACTTATACCCCACTTCACCAAGGGGTCAGCAAGTCTGGGGCTTGTGTGCACAACCTGCCCTCATCACACATCTAACCACCCATGGTTTCAGCCATGACATCTGAAAAGGGCTTATGATGAATGCCACTCTACCTTGGTGTTCATATGGAGAATGATGCACATATCAAGATGGATTATATCAGGCTACCACCCCCACTTCCCCTGTAAAAATAATTAAACAACCTCACCCCCTTTTTAAAAAAAAAGAAGTGGAAATAAGAGACAGATACAGAAAATAAAAGGATGGACATATTTGGTAAAACTGTGTGAAAGTTTTAAAAGCACATTCCAAAATTACACTGGCTTCTTTCCCAATTTCTACTTGAAATTTCAAATTTTATTCAGAAGGAGCTGTGACCAGCTGGAAAGATGATCCAGAAGAGTACAAAATATAGACCAGTAGATTCTGATTTATATCCATGTAACCTGCAGGTCAGCCAGGGTTTCTGCCTTCTAGTGGCAAAAAGTCAATGGCCAAAATCCTATGGAGCTTTACTATGGAGTAGGTGGAACTGCTTAAGTTGCAGCTATGAATAGCAGATACCAGTCATGAGTCTGCCTGCATGACTGGCATACAGCCAGCACCTTATTAATTAGTTAAAATTTGCTGGTACAATTTATGTGATTTCACTTACAATAGAGTAAAATCCCAACAACATACTGGTTCATATTTTACAATGGTAACAAAAATCCCTTCTTCCTGATTTAGGAAGGAAATCAATAAAGCTGAGGAAAAAGTGTATGGAAAATATATATTCATAAGCTCCAAATACTGTATTTTATTTGCGCAGGTGGATCAGACACACCCAGTCCTGCAATTTTCTCCTGGGACACTATTTTGCAATCAGCTCTACTTGGAGCTCTAGTGAAAAACAAAAGTAGACTTCATAAACTAATGTCTGCACACTTCAGCATAACAGGTATTTTTAATATGAAATGAGATGACATTTCAGCTACTAAGGTGTCTGCTACCTGGTCCTGAACAGAAGAAGAAGAAATAATAATAATAATAATATGAAGAAATAATATGATAAATTTGTAAAATGGCTTAATTTTTGAAAATGGTACATTAACATTTATTATTTTCTAAAGGTGCAATTCTTTACTTACACATTCTGTCAGGGTTCACACGAACACCTTGAACGACAGATGTCCTGAGTATAGCTTCTACATCTGAACCTATTTTTATAAGCTGCACAGAAAACACACAGAGAGAGCATTGCAGCATTTATTGAATGCAGCAGGATTATTCTTGAAGGTGTTCTTTGTGTCTGTTCAGTACAGGAAATTACTAGTTATCTTGCACTTCCATACCCCCTGTCATCCTTGAAGCTTTCAGTGCAAATTAATTACTGCAGTGAAATGACTACATTTAGACCACATAGTTCAAGGATAGAATATTGCCCAGACCTGTAAAAGAGATATTCACACAGGTCTTGGGAGAAAATTGTTGGCAACAGAAACCACTGTTTATTCCAGAGCAGACGGAATGGCCCCCCCCCCCCCCCGATTAATCCCTTCTTAACGTTTTGGAATTGGCAAAATAATAGTATACTTTTACTGCAGTTCATTTTCTCTTACTTTTTCTGTAATGACCTTGAAATGTATTTTTTTGTATGTAAATAATTACTATTTTAATTAACAATAAACAATGCCTTTTTAGAGACCACGTGGTGAGAATTTTTACCAAATTACCTGAATATGAGAAAAATGATAACTAGTTCATATCTCACTTCCTAACCAAAATATAAGCCACACACCATCACATTATGCTGAGTGCAGTTATCAAGCTGCAGACTAAAAAAAAGTAAACCTTCTCAGCTCTGGTACATGTTCAGAGCAGTCTACTAATTTTAGTTCAAGAGAATCATACATATCTAGTAGATGTTTTACTTCTAATCTAAGGGGCTAGCTGAAATTCAGGGTGGGGTGAGCACATGTAACTCCAAAGGTCTGAGGGCCACACATGCCCACCTCTGGATCTTGAGGTACTGTAGGTGGTTACAGCTACACCTGCTCTCTCTCTACCTTCCCATAGTAGTTTTCCTTGAAAATGGCTTCTAAAAACAACAGAAAAACATCCCTTTCAACTTCTATTGATCATATTTTGAAAAAAAATAATTCTGTGGGCAACAGCCCCTCAAGAGAGCAAAATGGCTTCAGATGATATTAGAGCCAATTTAAAAGAAAAATTAAGAAGAAAGGGAGTGTAGGGGTACTGGGGGCTACATTTAGGACTTAGGGATACATGTACCATATTTTTCGCACCATAAGACGCACTTTTTTCCCCACAAAACAGGGGGGTGGAAAGTTTGTGCGTCTTATGGAGCGAAGAAAACATTATATTTTCCTGTTTTCTTCTCCTAAAAAATTGGTGCGTCTTATGGAAAGGTGCGTCTTATGGAACGAAAAATACGGTAATTAGCAAAGTGCATTTTACCCACCCTTATATTGATAAACCGGATTCATGATCCTTACAAAAACTCATAATCTCTGATCACTAGTTCCCAATCTTTAAAAATATATATCTATATGGACAAGAACCATAGCTTACTTTAAAAATGCATTTTTAACATTCACAAACATCAATGCATAAATGGAATAGATATACTACACAAAGGTGAGAAGAAGCTACAAAATAAAGTGAGCTTTTTTCCTACTGTGCCAGGGCAGCTTTTGCAAGCCAATATCCACCAAAGATGTGTTCACTGAAGAATATAATATTGTATGTATCTGACAATACTTGTCCTTGTTTTATAGGAACATTACTGGAAAGGCAGATTTAGCTTTATAGTATTCCCCTTAACATGTCCTCGAGAAATGCCATTCTGCTTTAGACTTCTTTTTTCTTAATCCACACAACTGGCATACATTTATGAATGGCATCAATTGTGAGGAAAGAAGTCAAAGAAAGGAGAAGATTTTCTGCAAGGGAACAGAAAACAAGAAGGCTCAGTCCTTGTTCTGCTCAGGTAGCAAAAGACAATGCCAATAGGCCATGTGCCAATATAGGCCTGAACAGAAGGGATGCTTTATTTTAGACATGCCACTCCATTAACATAAGAAGAGACTAAGCTGTGATTTAATTTTCACCTATCCTTTGCTTCAACAGAAGCATATATTGACATCAATGATTGACTGAGCAGGACAAGAGTTTAAGAGACTACTATATCCCCTCCCTAGATGGCTGAAAATGCTTGTCTCACAATTGGTCTGCTACAAGGAGAGCTTTCCCCATTCCCCAAAAGAAACAAGAGATTTTCTGTTTTTAATAATTCCATGTTTTACACAGGGTCTCCACTGTACTACATATGCTTTTTATGCAAAGTGCTTAGAAACATAATCTCAAGGGTTATGCAAGTACTTTAAATGAACAAATAATCTCTGGCAAACAGAGCCTACAGATATGGCATAGTGCAGTAGATAGAATGTTAGATCAAGACTCAGGAATCCTGGGTTCAAATTTCTGCTCAGCAGTAGAAACCCTTTGGTTGGGGCAATGGTAAACGACTCCTTGAATACCTCATATACCTTGAGAACACTAACAGAGTTGCCACCAAGGAATTCCTTGCCACAGGATGTGGTGATGGCATCTGGTCTAGGTGCCTTTAAAAAGGGGGTTGGACAGATTCCTGGAGGAAAAGCCCACTGCAGATTAGAAGCCATGATGGGGATGTATAATCTCCAGTCTTAAAAGGAAGGTACCTCCAAATACCAGATGTGGGGGAGGTATCAAGGAGACCGGTATCAAGTTGTCTCATGTGCTCCCAGAGGCATCTGGTGGGGCCACTGTGAGATACAGGAAGTTGGACTAGATGGGCCCTTGGCCTGATCCAGCAGGGCTCTTCTTATGTTAAGCTACTTGATGGCACATCATAACAACAGAACATGAGGACTCTTCTAAATATATAAATATGAATAATTTCTCAGCCATATTTCAAGACCACAGACTTCCTAAGTTGCTGGCTATACCTATCCCATCTTTTTTATTTTTATGGAATGTATTCCTCTTACAAGGAAAACAAGGTAAACATAGCAGAAAACTTTTTTCTCTGGCTACGATTTCTAGATATAAGGTTTCCAATACATGTTAAGAGCATACCAATGTTGGAGAGTCAACATATGGTTTTGGTTGGATTATTTGCTATGACTTTCCTCTTGTGTGGGGCTATAGGAACTCCAGTTTTACAATAGGTTTCAGAATTCTTCCCAATTCCCACACATCTTTGGGGGAAGGGTGAGAAAGGATCTGTTATGAATTAAACCAGCTTAAGCTTGCAGCACAGACCTGCCCTTGGCAGCAGGAAGAGATTACTATGAAAGTACCTCAGCTATTCTTCCAGAAGAAGTTTCTTCTTTGTTCTTTTTGAATTCTTCATTTATCTTAAGTCTTGCAGCTGAATAAAGGAGAGGAAAAGGGCAGAAAGATTAATTTGTCTAATTATTTTGTCCTTAGTAGGTAAGGCAAACATAGCAAAGAGAATACAAAGCCATTACATTTTACTTGGTAACAAACAGAAAAACAGACATGTGTATCACAACCTCTTATTTATATGGAGAGAAATATTTTTACCTATCCTGAGATGACGTTATAAAAATTAGGAGAACTGTGCTTTCCCCAATAACATTACAATGTAGAACATTCCAATTCATATCTACAAACTCAAATGCTGCTCTTCACAATTTACAAGTTTCAGGTCTAGCATCAGTTTCTACAACCTAACTCAATCTATGCAACTAAAGATTTGTGTGGCATGTGAAATAAGTAAAATATAAAAGCTATGTAGAAGTTTTATATATAGAATCACAGAACTGGAAGGGTCCCAAGGGACCCATATGCCCCACTGATGAAGGAAATCCACAACTAAAGCATCCCTAACACATGGCCTCCAACTGTCGTTTCGAAATTTCCAATGAAGGAATCCACCATCTTTTGAGGTAGCCCATTCCAGAGGGAGAAGAGAAAGTTCCAGTGGTATGTTGGTGTAATTCAGATGTATAATGCACACCATTAAAACACAGTGCACACATCTGTGTATACTAAAACAGAAATCAATTTAAGATCCTGAGGAGGGCAAGCAAACCCCTCCCCTTCTCTCCATGGCCACCTATTGCCTTAAACAGCATATGTTTCAGTATGGAAAGAGAAGGACAGAAGAGAGAGGGAGGCAGAATGCATGTGTTTGAAAGGGGCTCCGCACAAGAGAGAAACAGACAGGAAGCATGTTCAGGGAAAACTGGAGTTGTCAGCATGAGAAAGCGTGTGATAGGTTGCTGTTCTACCAAAGCAGAAGGGAAGATTGAGCTGGCCGCCTGAGCTGATAGCTGAAACAATAAAAGTTTGTATTAAGTGTTAGGCATCACATGAATATAAAGTAATATGCTAAAATATGACGCAGCTTTCAAGCAGCACTTAAATAAAGATCTTCTGCAAAGCATCGACAAGATACTCAGATTTCAGAGGAACCCAGCTCCACACCACAGAACACTGCCTCATGGTATGTCTTTAGATACCATGTCAAAATTATGCTCCAGGTGTTAATACAGATGCTTTCTAACTTTACGAAGGGACTCAGAATTCTTTGTTAGAAGTTAGCTTGTTCCTTAGCTCCACTCAGAATGCTCTTCCTGTACTTAAGTAACCACATCACTGTCATAAAAATTAAGTAAGAAGGTGCTAACCTAGTAAATATTCATTACTATCCTGCACAGAGGCAAGGTTACTGAAAAGAAACCACCTTTTAATCTTATCTATGATTCTATTGTACAAACTTCCCACAATATAACAAAGAAGTGTGTCTTCAGTTATAGGAGACAGAGAGAATCCAGAAACAAAGGTAGGTATCACCTTTATTAGACCACTAAAATCTCCTAAACAGGTGCTACCTTTCAAGTCCTGCAGGATTCTAATAAAGGTTTCACTTCCCCTTATTTCTGGACTGTGTAAAAGGACCTCATGGTGTCCATTTCCTCTCTTGTCCAAAAAATAACAGTGGCACCTGTTGTAATGGTTTTATAACCCTGTACCACAGGCATTTAGTTAAATGGAAGAAATGAACAGAGTTTGAAATACAACCAATCTGCTAATTTTAGATCACCCTCAAACAGCAACTTTAAAACATGTAGTTTGACCATAACATTACTATTTCTGGCATGTCACATTTTGAGCTTCATTATACAGTACTCTAATGTTTCCAGCGAGATCAATGATTTAGGGCAGTGGTTCTTAACCTTTGTTACTCAGATGCTTTTGAACTGCAACTCCCAGAAACCCCAGTCAGGACAGCTGGTGGTGAAGGCTTCTGGGAGTTGCAGTCCAAAACTCCTGAGTAATCCAAGGTTAAGAACCAGTGATTTAGGGTACTTCCAGAAGGAAGACTTAGCACTTCCAGTGAAAAGAAATTGTGTATCTATTCTGTCCTGTTTTTAAATTATGTTTCCTAGCAAGAAGAAAGAGAGAGAGTAGTGGCAGAAAAACATGAAAGGGAAACAAATAAAAGATATACCTGGAATCTCCTACTGTAAAGATCTATGAATAAGGCAGCACAACTATACAGTAAAAGCCTTTTCTATAAGGAACCTTAGTTTATATATTGTGTCTTAAGATTTTTCCTCAATAGTATAGCAAGTTATTATTTTCCTTCATATTTAACTTGGGATTTGCTTCTCTGTTTCCTTTGCACATCTGCACTTTCTTAAAAGGTGCAACTGCATGGAGGCAAGGAGGACCAGTAAACCCCCCTCTTCAACACAGAATAGCCATTCCACAGAAGGCTAGCAAGGGGGAGGCAGTAGACTAATAATTACTGTGGGCTTCTGTTTTTTGGAAGACAGATCATCAGTTTGGCAAGATGCTATAAAATCACCAGGGAAAACACTTCTAAATAGGCAATTGCTACAGTTTATTGCAGTAAAGCCCACATCACAAAAATTATATTAATCTTCAAGATGATGGCAAGCATACAACATTACTTTACCAAGAAAACAATATGCTTTTTTTTTTTACCTTCCAAGGTTCTTAAGTCATTTTTGAAAACCTCTTGCCTCGTCCTATGCAAAGATCTGAAAAGTTTCAAGATCTGGGTATACAAGAAAATATTAGTTTTTTGTTATCATTAGTACTATCATTTTTATTCCACTTGCATTTTACAAAACCCAGCATAATGCATCTTTTTCCAAAGAGGAAATATGAGCTATCAAAAGCTGCCTAGACTGGTCGTAATTGACCAGATAGGCAGGATATAAATAAAATAAATAATAAAACAAGGTTTTTCAAATGCACAATACTGCCGAAAGATTCCAGCCAATCTTTAATAAAGTAAGACTAGAACACTCAATGTGGGCTGTTTAGCAACACAGATCCTTAGCAACTATGACAGGCTGTGTGTTTTATTTTTTGTATAAAGAGGAATTCCTACCTAAAACTGGCCAGCACTAGACAGGGCAATGCAAACAATTTATGACATATGAGAAAATCTTCAAGGCACTAGCCTATTCAAACTGGTTACAAATGACACACATCAACAACAGGATTGTTGTGCATAAAGGCCACCATTTATTGGATACAAGTGGCCACAGACTGCAAGAAATCCTTAGGTTTCACAGAACAGTCATGTGTGTTTTAAAACAGGGGTCCCCAACTGCTGGGCTGTGGACAGGTACCGGTCCATGGCCTTGATAGGACTGGGACACTCAGCTAGATTTTCGAGGGCCAAAGGAACGTGCGCGCGCACTCCCACCCACCCACCCACCCGCATGCATGCGCACCCTGCCCTCTCCTCCCACCCAAAACACTGCCTGCCCCCTGCCTGCACTCACTCCCCTACCTGCACCCCCCCATCTACACAGACAGAGAGATGCTACCACCTCCCTCCTCCCCCGGTCTTTGGGAGAATGGTCTCCAACTAAACCAGTCCCTGGTTTCAAAAAGGTTGGGGCCCACTGTTTTAAAAGATAAAATGGCATGATAGTAAACACACTGTCAGGCATTACACTATATCCTCTAAGAAAAGAGACATCAGATATACACTTTCTTATATATTACGTATTAACTGCAACTTCTATAACCACTTCATCTATGAATTTTAAATAGCAATACACACAAGAACTTAGGTTCTATTTATATTGGACTCTTCCAGTTCTAATCAATTCTCTTTCTGATCAGTGGAAATGAATTCTCAATGTTCTTTCAATTACAAGCACTGGAAGGATAAATCCTTAGCACCCTTCATTACTCAATGCACTGAGAAATGCATAAACCTATCAGTATCTCAGTATGTGGCATACAGATGTTGACTTTGTATGGATACATATCTGGTCATCTTCTCCTAAACTCTTTCATATATTTTTACTGCTGAATTTCTCAGTTCAATATCTTGCTTTTGTATCCTTCTGAACCACGTGCTATATTTCTCACCCTTGATGTGATTTTCTTGCACAATAAAAAATTAAGTAACAGTAATGACATGTACCATAAGCCCCAAATCACACACTACACTCACTTCTACAGCAACCTATCAACTATTTCAGGGAAGCTAGACTTTAAATACAGCATACCTATGTATGACCTAATCATGCGTATGTTATATGCCCTTCAGCAGGGCTTATCCCTGCATAGACTTCCGCACAGAAGTCCCATACTAGCTTAGAGCTTTATGCTTCCCTAGAAGTAAGCACTACTTAACACCACAGAACTTAATTCTGGGTCCAGAAGATTGTGTGATTAAATTCCCAGTGACTTTGCCCAGATTGTTTCCAATGTCATTGTCTAGAGTAACTGACAACAAGAATCCTTAGACACAACTCTACAGGAATTTCCTTGGGAATAAGTCCCACTTGAAGGCACTTACTGCTTCTTGGAATAATGAATTTTTTCTGACTAGCATTGCCAGAATCCCGACACCCTGAACATACAAGGTGGGGAGATTCAAGAATCCATACTAGCCAGAACTAAGAGTAACATACAGTACTACCACATTATATTGCACTGTATTGCATTACACTATACAGTACTAGTAAAAAAGTAATTGCTATTCCTACCACCCCCTCCAAGCACCAGGCCCCGCCGCCGTTCTTTGCGCTGCCTCTCGCCTCTCCCCCGCAGCGGCGCTCCGGACCGCGACGCTCACCTCCCGGTTCCCCGTCATCCTCGGGCTCTCCTTCCGAAACAAGCGCGGCCGACAGGCCTTGAGGAAGAGACCAGGCCACGCCCACTGCTCTTGACCTCCCGCTCTGCAGGGACCAATGGAAAATCTCCTCTTCGAGAAGACCAACCAATCAGCGCCGGCCTTCCTTTCCCGCCTCCTAAAGGTCACAGTGGTACAACTTCCGTCCCATAGAGATACACCATATAGAATCACGTCCGAGGGTCGGCTTCGTGTGATGTCAGTTTGCAGGCGCGGGTCAACACCGCAATCTGTCTTCCTGCGGCTGAAACACGTGCGGATAAGATTTTTCAGTGTCACTCACAACGGCTCTACCGCGTCTCCAGCAGAGAAAAGTTACGGAACCGTACAGGAGGAAGTGACCCCCAATGGCCATCTGGTTCAACTTGTTTCCAAAGCTGGACCGCCAGCTTAAAAAGCCTCCCGATCAGATTGCCCTCCAACCTTCGATTAAAAGCCCCCAACAAAAGACAGTCCGCCATTTGCAGAGGTAGTCCGTTCCCCTGCGGAACAGCCCTCTTCTTAACAGGAGGAAGCTTTTCGCTAACGTTTACTCCGAATCTGCTTTATTGAACCTGCTAATCCCCTAGTTTGGGGCGTCTCCTTGTGGAACGATAGAAAACAATGGTGTTCTGTCTCCCATCACATCGGAAGATGGCTGTGGTATCCCTGCTAAGCAAGTCCACCTCTGAGTACGAGTGAAGGGGGAAACAAGGATGAAGGGCTCGCCCGAGTCGGCTTGGGACTGGCACCTGGGTGGAGAAAGCGATGCGGGACGAGGTGGGCCTCTAGCCTGGTGCAGCAGCACAGTTCTGGGGTTCCCCCAGGCCTACACTCGAATGCCGCTCCCTCGACGGTCATTCCCGGGTGGAGAAGGACATTTTGTGCAGGGCAGAAGAGAGAAGACGCTCCCCCGCCCGCACCCCCGTGCTCATCGCTGCAGTCCCTGTTACATAGTGCGCAAAACTGCCGTCCAGAAAGAACGAAAGGGAGGCAAAGGAATTCGGCTCGCTCTTGGAATGGGAAAAGGTTAAAGCTATAGAGCTGATCGCTGGCATAACGCAGGGTAGACTACAGTCAGCAATAATTAAGGCAAGATACGGCGTTATGACGTGCAGGTGGTGAGGAATAACACGGCAGGATTTTGCCGTAACGCTTTGCCCTTTAACATCTCCTCCCGTCTCACTTTTCGGCTGCCAACCCACCCAGCCCCCCGGTCAATTTCGACTTTATTATGTTGAATTAACAGGATAGGCCTGACGGACCCTCTTTAGAAAAGGGGAGAAAAAAAGAAAACGTGTGCGGGGAATGACGGATCCCAGAAAGCACCAATAAGACGGGCCTTTGCCTCGCTAGGGCGCGCTGACAGGCCACGCGAGTCCTTCGCTAACCCTTTAAAGCTCGCTATTGGTCGAACGGGAAAGGGGCGGGGCTGGGATGGTCGAGGGCCGGGCTTGGTGGGCTTTGGAGGCGCCGGCTGGTCTCCTCGGGCAGAGATGGCGGACGAGATCAGCAAAGCTCAGGTGGCCCAGCCGGGCGGAGACACCATCTTCGGGAAGATCATCCGCAAAGAGATCCCCGCCAAGATCATCTTCGAGGACGAGCAGGTGGGGAAGCCCGGGGAGAGGGAGCTCCCCCCGTCCGCCCCCGAGGCGCGTGCATTTGACCCTCCTAAGGTCCCTGGTGGACGAGGCCGAAGGACCGCTTGGTTCCAGTGCAGCCTTTCTCGTTTTAAATAATTTCACCCACAAGGCTCAATAGATAAAACTTTTCCAAGTTCCAGCCACAGTCGTGGGAGGCCAAAAGCAGGCTGGTGCAGGCATCGCCCCTTCCTGATACTTACTTAATTATTGGAAGGTACAGTGCCTTGGACCATGGAGGCTCTCTTTAGCCACCGTGAAGAATTGCTGATTCGCCTTCATAGGTTTTTCCAACTGTAGGTTTTCTGGGGAGTACGGACTCTTCCTAGAGGCTTAGGTGAAGCGTTTTGAAAGCCAAAGAAGGCGTTTCCTTTTGTTTGGTTAACTGGTGTGTGTTATTTGCCCAGAACCAACCAAATTGAGGAGTGAGAATTTGATTTTGATCTGAGAATGTGAATGAGTGTTGGAATGTTCCCAATTAATTTTACCAATGTTTATGTTGTTTTTCCAAGTAGTGAGTGCATGGAAAGATAGAAACTGCTAGTATTAGTAGCAATATTCCCTAAGTGGAAGAAGTTACTGACCCATGTTGATGAAAAAGGTGTTTCCCTTGTAATAGTATCATACAGCTGCACTTCTTCCGAAACACATAGTCTATCAGGCAGTGGCCAGATAGAAGACTGTATTATGTTATTGTAGAACATTGAACTGGAGTATTCCTTAAATATTCCCATGCAGGAAGGTATACCTGTAATGCCAGAGCTTCATTGTTTGAAGAGGTAGGATGTGATAACCTATCCACAGTTTCCTAAGCTGTAACTTTAAAACTACACCTCTAGTGGAATCTGCATCTTTCCTTGCTTGCATCTAAGAAATTCACCAGCCAAAATCCATCTTCCATCAACTTTTGGAACTCTGAATTCTCTGCACTAATGACAAGTTGCTGGTGCAGGCCTGATGAAGTGGGCCTTGATCCACAAAAGCTAGTACATTGCATGATTTTTTTATTTTGGGTGGGCTATAGAGACAGTTCTGTACTGTATTTGTATTATGTAATGACCTCTTGTATTTTAAGAGATTTGCTTTCAGTGGTAGATGGAAAAGATTTTTCTGTTTTAGAACTGAAGTTACAGAATGCAGATTATTTATTTGTGGTCTTCTCCTCTTCCTCACTTTAATACCAAGTCACTTTGCAAAAATTAGAAACTGGATTCCAAGGTAGCCTATAGTATTTTTGGAGCACAAGAGATGGCAGTTGCGTGAGCAAAGTTTGAATCTTCTTTTGGGTTCCAAGAGCTTTCTTAACAACATATGCCAAATCCTCTACCCAGCTTGCCAGTAGAAATAACTGTGTAATTTTTATGTGACTGTAATTCAGCCTCATTCAATTAATTGGGGCTTATTCATTTTTATGTTAGCTTTTAAGTCTTTTTACAGAAGTGATAGCATTTAATGCCAGGTTATTTTTCAAGAACGTCTGTTAAATTTAAAAAGCCTTTGATTCCCACCTACCCACCCCCAATTTACAATGGCATATGAATCTAGATGGATGGCAAGTTTGAGTAGACCAGGGGCCATTATTCTCTTTCCCCTGGGTCCATTGTTGGCTACCACAAATGCTAGAAAAGTGTGTGAGAGGGGGATCAGAAGAGGAAGACTAGTTCTGGTTGTGGCTCTAAACCCACATTTGGAATCTTGTAGGAGCAAAAAGTGACATTTTTTGGACAAAACAAATTGACAGGACTCTGGTTGTAGGTTCTGGCAGCTCTTCAGAAAAGCCCTTGGGAAACTACATGTGACCTGCAAGCTGCCTTTTGCCCATCCTTGGCATATTCTATAACAAAGCTTTGCATTATATAAATTGACATTCCTATTTCAAAAATCAGCGTTGTCCTATGAAGAAACTTCACACACAGTGAACTCCAGGGAAGCTATTATACCAGGGATATTAAACTACAAATGTTGTTAGTTGGAGGAGGATTTCTCTGACATTTTCCATTTTCTCTGCATCCTACATTTGAAGCCGTAAGCAAATTCAAGCGCGTTTATGAGTAATCTGGCCTTTCTCACCAGATTATTCAGAAACATGTTGAAACCCATCCATAAGCTAAAACATAGGTTGCAGGAAAAAAAACATGGCATGTCATAGAAATCCTCCCCCTATTTATTAGATTACAGCTCCCACCATGGTTGGAAGTGGGTTGGCTCTGCTGGCCAGAGCTTATGTGAGTTGTCGTTTGGTGCTATGTGGAAAGCTGCAGGTTATCCATTCCTCTTTTATACAGAGGTTTTGTCATGAAAACGTTTTTACTATGGGGTGGGGGGGGGAAATGCAGTTTTGGGGAGCTTGAATCCAGTTGTGCGGGACGTCCCCACTGGAGTAGACCCATTATATCACTGGGATTTACCTAAGTGTTGGCTTACTGTATGGGTTTATTGTAGTTGGGACTAATAAGTTTATTTCAACCGCTGTACATTTTATTTTTTTAAAAGAACAGTTTACTAATGACAGTGGCTTTTCCTCTCCTCAGTGCCTTGCTTTCCATGACATTTCTCCTCAAGCTCCAACCCATTTCCTAGTGGTCCCTAAGAAGCAAATTGCTCAGTTGTCCCAAGCGCAAGATTCTGATGAAGCTGTAAGTATTGCAAAAGGGTGTTTAATTCTTTTATGTGCTGCTCAGTTTTTCAATAAAGACACAGCCAGTTCTGCAGTTACACAGCTTCTCTATAGGTTTTCCAGATGGATCCTTATTATATCCTGTGGCTTGTCTGAAATATGTCCCAGTCTTTTGAGGGGTTTTTGTGCGATGTGTGAGAATAAAACCAGAAGTCCCCACCTCCACCCTGCTGGGGGACTGACGACCAAGTGGATCAAGTACCTTAATGACCTAGTTTGAGCTGCAGAGTTGTCGTAGACAGAGACCCAGTTATTTTTAGCACACAGACCAAGCATTACTGGAGTGTAGTGCTATACTGGCTTCATGTTCAGGTATGTGGGAATTGTATCTGAACTTATTAGCCAGGCTGTGAAATCCAGTCTTATCATAATGGCCAGAATGTCAATGGTTAGATATATCAGTGTATGGGGTAAATTTCAGCATTGAATTGCCACTAGTTAAGAAGTCACTGCTTGTGTCTCTCACCATGTGCCAGTCACATGTGAGTTGGTTTGCCACAAGGAGTGCAACCAGCAACTTGTTAATTAGCCACAATTTGCTGCTGCAGTATGTGATACAGAATCGTAGAATAATGAAGTTGGAAGGTGCCTATAAGGCCATCCATTCCAAACCCTGTGCTTAATGCAGGAATGCGAATCAAAGGATATCTGTCAGGTGGGTGTCTAATATTGTACTTCTTCTGGCATAGGTAATAGAATTTCGACCAGTAGTCTCTGTCTGAGGGACTATTCTTAGTGCTGAACTGTATTTAGCGGATGGGCAAAGGTGATTCCACTCACTTTTGTTTCTGTTTGTGGTAGGTTCTAGCACGTGGCTTCTCAGATTATCTGTAAGATTATCTGTGCTCAGGATTTAACTAGCCGGCCAGAGTAGACTTTGATCTAGATGGGTGGGATATAAAATAAATAAAAATAAATAAACTAACAGATGTTCTTCCACTGGTGGATGGACACTCTTGAATCCAACCCACTGCCTTCATATTGCAGATAATTCTCTAACATCTAGTCCAGTACTTTTCAGTTTTGGGTAGCTCAGATGTTCTTGGACTTCAACTCCCAGAAACCTTGGGCAGCACAGCTGGTGATGAAGGCTTCTGGGAATTGCAGTCCCCTTGTGATATCATTCCTTTGTTTTTGCTGTTGTTGTTCATTTAGGTCTAGAAAAGCTTATAATTCAATTATTAAATCTGCATTTGTTCATGGGATCACTTCAGGACTGGAAATTAACCTGGGATGTCACTTGAAACATTCTGATCACCTTAAACTCATTTTGATGGGTGCACTAATCTGTGTTATGTAAGTCACAGTAATATTCACCACAGTGACTCCCAGAACTATATTGCCGATAACTGAATTGACAAATATGCTAGGAGATACATTAATCTAACTTCATGTTTATTTGATCCTCAAATTTAATATGTAAAATCTTTTTTCCTAAGGGGAGGATACATCAGCCTGTAAGCAGCCATGCTGTGATAAACTGATGTGAAATGGCTGCTGCTCTTATGCAAAATAAACCATTTTCCCCCTCTGCCTTCTGAGAACTGAATATTGTTATTGAATACTTTTATTTGGAGTTACAATACAGTAATTCTGTGCATGCCTGGAAAGATGGATCATGAATCATAGAGTCCGCAAGTGTTTAACAAAGCTTTTTTTAAAAATGAGAAAGCAAAGAATTAGTTTTAAAAATTATGAAGGGGAAAAAAACTATTGTGGAGCCTTTGAAACTATAAGCATACCTGATTGCTTTCAGAAAGTAAGTTTCCCAGCTCTCCATTATAAATATCCAGAATAAGCACAGGATCGAAAAAGAACTTCACATTAAAACCCCACTAGCAATAACATGTAAAAATCTTCAGGCCACATGGTTGCAATAAGCATGCAAGGGGAGGACGGAAACTGCCCCAGATCCTCTTGCTGAATTCTGGTGGCATAAATGCAAATAGGATTGAATTGCTCAAGTAAAGAAATTTGCATAGACATGAACATTTCATGCCTTTTGTGTTGAGGATTTTAGCCATTGATCATTTAGTATTAGAAGCTAAGAGAAAAGAATATGATTTAAATCATTAATTGATGTAACATTACTTTTGAATGCACAGTAATGGCTTAGACTATTATTGGGTTGGTATACAGCATTAATGAATCCTTGTATTCACATAGTGAACATTGTGTCAGGTGAAATATGCACCACTGGCTATAAATGTAAATATAGCTTCTTCACTCTTATGAGTCAGGAGTGGAGTGATTCAGGTGTTTCTCGAGCAGGCAATGTAGCTGAGAGGCCTTAACATTATAGAGATGGAAACAATAATTTTAAAATACTGTTTTTAGTTTGGGTTGTTTTGACATCTTGATAAGGAATTTTAAGACTCCATGATTCCTTGCCTCCAGCTGATAGCAAGAGGTAGAGCTCTGTGTAAACACAGTAAGTGCAGGCGGAATGGCTAATTGTTAAGAAATACACCGATTGCAGTGCCTCAGATTCTTTAAAGCAGCAGGCATCCTTGTTTTCTTGAATTTTGTGCATATCTAGGGCAATTTGTGCAAAACATTCTTCTTGCCAGTGCAAAAACTCATCAAGAGCACCAAGAAATTCATTATCACCCTTGCTGGTGAGACGTATGTTGTGGTTTCTCATCCATGCATTCAAGGATGAGACAAAACAAGATTTATTTATTTACTGTATTTGATTTCTATACTAGCCCAGTGCCAGCACTTCTCTGGGTGGTTTACAAGTTAATCTTAAAACCCCACAGAATCCCACATAACAACACATTCAGATAATATGGCAATATAGCAGCTGCAAAATCTAAAATTCATACAGAAAGGCAGTTTTGAATAATTCAGTTTTTATCAATTTTCTGAACATAAAATGGAAAGGAGCCTGGCACATCTCAGGTGGTAACTCAGATTTGGGGAGTCACCACCAAAAAGGCCTAATTCCATGTTATCACCTTTTTGGCCTCCCTCAGTGTGGTCACTTTTTGCAACATGGATTGAGAGGAGCTGGTAGAATGGGAGGCTGATTTCTAAGAGAGGCATTCTGACAAGTATCAAGGTCCTAAGCCTAGTGATTTATGTTCCTAGCATAGAAACATGGGAGCAGTGCAGGCTGCCGTATCAAAAGGATCTGTCAGTTTTGAAACGAATTCATCTAAATATAGAAAAAAAAATCTAACTATGGTTTACTTATCAAAAAGTTCTTACTGGGTTTACAGGTTGACTATGGTTCTGTACTCCCCATTTTTAATGAGCACCCAGACCAGTTTTGAGGAAAACTGAATGTTGGAAAACATGCTGACTAAAATTATACTGGTGTCTCTTTTTCTTAAGTTGGTCTCAGTTTTGCTCTCACCTCTATGAACTCGTTTTATCCCTTAATGTCTTAGAATGTTTTTTTCTTCTTTTTCAGCTACTTGGACACTTAATGATTGTGGGCAAGAAATGTGCTGCTGACTTGGGCTTGACCAGGGGATTCCGGATGGTGGTGAATGAAGGGCCAGACGGTGGTCAGTCTGTATATCATGTACATCTACATGTTCTTGGTGGCCGTCAACTGGGCTGGCCACCAGGTTAAGAACGCGAGAGAGAAGTGTGGAAAATGTCCTCAAGCCACCACTTGAAATATAGTCAACAAATGTCGTGCAAAATCTAACCAGTGTCATTAACCTCAGTCCATTACCCTTTCTTGAAGAGAATAAATGTTTGCTCAAATTTTGTTCAGTAAAATGAGAAGCATGTTAAATCACCATTTTGTGTGTTTCAAATTATTATTGTAAAATATGGTGTGGGGTGGGATATTCCCATTGTACCTGTCAGTTGCTAACACAGAGGCAGTGACTTGCTTTGAAATAACCAATAAGTGTGATGAAGGAAATGGGGTTTTGACTCTGTCTCTGGACAGACTTTTTCATAGACTTTCCTGAAGCCCCTAGGTTTTTGTTATTAGTCAAGAAGAACAGTGCATTTGGTTCTCGCTGTAGCCAACTAGATGCCTATAGATAGCTTCTAATTGGGGAGTGGCTGTTCCTGTGCTGAGTGATCCCAAATGGCTCATGGACTTAGCTTTTCTTGTTGATATCACACATGAACTTAATGTACTAAACAAGAAGTTACAAGGCCAGGGGCAACTTGTCAGTGCTGCCTATGACAACGTGAGAGCATTCTCCACAAAACTTGTGTTATGGAAAGCCCAGCTCTCAGACAAACCTCTGCTATTTCCCACTTGTGGATGCAGGAACACCATTCAGTAGTGGGAAGTACAGTGGTGCCCCGTATAGCGAGGTTAATCCGTTCCGGATTAACCTTCGCTATACGAAAACATCGCTGTGCGGGTAGGGAAAGCCTATTGGAACCCATTAAACTTAGTTTAATGCGTTCCAATAAGCGTGGAAACTTACCCCTCCAGCGATGTTTTCGCTCCGGCGGCCATTTTGGAGCTGCCGATCAGCTGTTCGGCGGCTCCAAAATGGCTGCCGGACGCCCCAATCGTCGCAAAGCGAGTGCGGCGATTGGGGCTGATCCGTATAGCGATCCCCAAAAAGGGATCGCTATACGGATTCTTCGTTAAACGGTGCGCTCGTTAAGCGAGGCACCACTGTATGTTGATGTCATTTTGAAGCAACAGGAGGAATTTGATCACAGATTTGCAGACTTCAAGATGCACAGAACCACATTTCAAATTTTTGCAGACCCCTTCTCCTTTGATGCCCCTCCTGTGCTTCAAATGGAGCTCATTGACCTGCAGTGCAACTCTGACCTCAATGCGAAGTTCAGGGAGGTGAGTGGAAAAGCAGACCAAGCTTGGGCAATTTTTGAGAGAATTGATCCCCAGCTTCCCTGAGCGTTCTCAAATGTTCAAGCGGACCATGTGCCTTTCCGGGAGCACGTACTTGTGCAAAAAGCTCTTCTCCACCTTGAACTTCAATAAGTCCAAGTACAGGTCTAGACTTACTGATGATCATCTTCAAGCCATACTGAGGGTCTCAACTGCTTCCTCCCTCAAGCCAAATGTGGCTCGGCTATGCAAGAGGAAGCGCTGCCAGGTCTGTAGCAGCAAGGAGTAGGCAAGAGAAGCCATGTTCAGAACATGTTCTTCATATTCAGAACAGTTCATGTTCTTCAATGTTCCATTCATGTTCAGGACAATTCATGTTTAGAAGAAGATTAAAAGTTAAAGAACTGTTAATACAGACATTTGAATCTGAATACAGCAGATATAGGAGACTGAAGAAACCACATATAGTTGCTCACTAGACTATTATTATTTTATTATTTTTATTCATTACTGATTTATTTACTTATTTTCTTAATTCTTAATTTGTTTATTTTTTCATCTTACTTTGTTAAAAAATAAAAATAAAGATTTGAGAAGATTGGAATTTTTAAAACAAAGCTTTTCTTGTGGCAAACCTGATGTGGCCCAGCCTCACCCAGCCTCTGCCTCCAGTGGCCCCCAGGTAAATTGACTTTGAGACCCCTGTCTCAAAGTAATACTTGGCATTTGTTTAGTACTTTTGAATATTCAAAGTGTTTCATGAGGTTTATTGGCTGCAATCCTATTGTATATGGCACAGTGCAGCATTACACCTGCAGATATTTGTAGGGAGTTATGCCCAGATAGTCTGCATTTTGTGTCTGGTTGCACATGAAACTGATTGGGTGGTCATGAAGCTCTCAGCCTGAATCTTTATCTCAGGGTTGTTGTAAAATGGAGAGGAAGAGAACCTTGTACCTGTTCAGCAAACAAGTGGCATATAAATGTAAGAAGTAAATGAACTCTAAGCAAAAAGTAACAAATAAATCAGCTCCAAACAAAAAGTCAACTGCTTTGTTAAGCTGTTACATTACATGTGACATAGGACAGAGAAAGAGGAACAAATGTGAGGGAAAGTGTGTGACGAGCTGTCTGAAAAGGCCAGTGGAAAAGGTGCCTGCATTTTAATTCTGCACAAATCAGCTCACAATAGAATCAGTCTAAGAGAACAAGGGTTGGGTGATGATTAGCAGGCAGAGAGGCATGAATTTTCTTGCTCTCCACTTTTCTCATCCATAGCTGTGGCCACAGTCAACATACAACCATAGTTATTAGCCTGATGATTCTTACAACAGCCCTGTATGTTAAGCCAGTGTTAATATTGCAGATGGAAAAGAGTAAGTACGTGGAGACTGAGAAAAATGGCTTCAGTCATCACATCTGGTGAACTCATGGCTGAAATGCAATGAAGACTGAAATTAACAAGGCAGGATTTGTAGCCAGGCCTGCTGTTGGCTGGCGTGTTGAGATACAGTGGTGTCTCGCTTAATGAGCGCACCGTTTAACGATGAATCCGCATAGTGACACATTTTTTGCGATCACTAATGCAATCGCATTGTGATGTTTTAGGTGGCAAAACACTGCATTGTGATGATCGGTGAGCATTTGACTTACCGATCTTTGCATAGCGATGCTTAGAAAACAGCTGATCGGCGGTACAAAATGGCTGCCGGATCAACAAAATGGCTACCCGCAGCATTTTTGCACCAATTCCTAGCTTACCGAGGCGGCAAAAATGGCGGCCCTATGGAGGATTCCCGCTTAGCGGTGTGTTTTTCCCCAATAGGAATGCATTAAACGGAGTTTAATGTGTTCCTATGGGTCCCCCCCGCATAGCGATGAATCCGGATAGCGATGTTAATCCTGGAACGGATTAACGTTGCTATGCGGGGCACCACTGTAATTTGCAGCCATCAGCTGAAAGTGGGCTGGTCTAGTGGAGGGAGCAGGGTGAATCTGGGGCTATCTCCTATCATTAAATTATTGAGACTAAATTATCTGAGTTGCAACTAAGAGGAAGATGGGCTTGTTCTGGTGTTAATTCTACGTGCTATAAGCATACATGTGGAGGGGAAAATGTACTTCTGCCTCACTCCATTGCTCTCAGCATTGGGTCTAAAGAGGAGCGATGCCTTCTCACATGTAGGTTCTACACATGAGAAAGAACCCTAGCAAATCTATGTTCTTGACATGTAGAGCCTACACCTGACCAGGACTACTCTCTTCAGATCCAAGGTTGCCAACATGAAAAACGGGACAATGAAGGGACTGGGTTAGGCATTTCCTGTCTAATCCTTTCACCATGTTGACTAATGTCTGACTAGGGCCAGTGGCTTTCCATCATTATTTCTTGACAGTTGTGTGTGGAATTTACTATGTGCACCATTGTTTTGAAATGCCTAGGTCTATTTACACTTCCTAAAATAGTCTGTAAAATAAGGGAAATATGTGTGTGTAGGGGGGGAGTCCACCCCTGACTCTGGCCCCTAACTATAGAGAGAAGTTCTGTGCCCATGTAGGGTTAGTTAGGGGATTTACTTTTATTCTTTTATATCTGACTTTCTGTTTGGCATTTTTCAGGTACCTCAATAAAGTTAAGCTAACAAACATGAGGTATAAGTGAGTTTGATTCTTTCTAAACATAACACTTTCCTGATAGCTTGTGGCTGACCCATGTAAACCTAGAGAGGTGTGTGAGGATGTGCATTGACAGTGGCTGTCTAGAAAAGTAGTTTTTCTCTTGATTCACGTGTGTGAAAGAGAGTGGGAAGAAGCAATAGAGAGGATTCTTGGCCGCTTTCTCCATCACTGCAGGCTTCCTGTCTTTTTCCCCTTAAAAAATAGAGTCCACTTTTCAGGTGTTAGAAACTCTTGTATACTATAAAGATTCCTGTGGTTCTACAGATTGAATGATATAGTCTGAGATAATCATCTAAAGGAGCAATAACAGTTGGTAATATAGTCAATCTCAAGAGCTTTTGGAATCTGCTGTGTTGTTAAATGTGACATACTCGTCCTGCAGATCCTCTTTCTACTGTAGAGCCTAATGGGAGATTTGGGGTCATCAAATCTCTCAGACTGACATACCTGAAAGGATAGTTGTGGGGGGGGGTAGGGAGGTTGGAGAGAAAGAACTATGTGCACAATATGGGATTTCTTGGAAGTGTACTTAATGCGTTTTATATTGACATCACTATGCTAGTTACTCTAAGTTGGTGTTAGATGTTAAAAATATCTAGACTTATACTAGACCAAGTGTTACAGGGAACTTTTAGTCTCTAAGATGCATGTATTAAGAAGGCATTAGTTGTCATTTTAAAGACTTGGTGAAACAATATAACTGTATATTTTTAAAGATAGCTTTATTCTGTTTCCTTGCCATAGTAATGCAGCTGTATTCAAAGGGCTACTATTACACTTCAAGTGGCATTTTATTACTTTAGCCAGATGGTGGAGCCATATTTTGTTGTAGCTCATTTGCTTTCAAACCATTCTAAACCCTCTAACGAGTCTCGTTCAAATGCAGAGTTGTGCCTGCACACTTTGGCTGCCCTTTACACACAACTAATTTTATATTGCATTTCTGTTCAAGACATTGACGTTTAATCCCTTTTGCCATACCATTGTTTTTAATGGTAGTTTATCTGGACGTGCCAAAGTTTATTAGCTGATTGTGCTTTTTTATAGCTGACCACAAGAGGTCAGAATGAGACAGCTGTTTGAAATTCTTGGGTTTCCTCATCTCATGAAAATCTCTTTGTAAACAGAAATGTTAATAGACACAGGTTAGATGTGGGAAGAGTAAGTCTTCCCATTGAAGGACATAATATATGTCACAGAGAATAAATTTCCCTCCTTTTTCTTGGGCTGTATGTGGCTGGGTCTTTTGTACAAAACATTTATTTTTAGACTTCATGGTGTGACTTTGTTGTTGT